TTGCTAAAAGTAGGCGAATTTGAAGATAAAATAGCCGACTTCAACACATTTATCATAAAGTTTAATTCTTTCTTAGTCATTAGAAGTTTAGCAAACCAGCGTTCACGCGCAAATGCATGTGTAAGCAGTATAAAGAAGAAATAATAAAATAAATTTAGGTAAAAGGTTGGACTTATTGTTGGCTTTCAATATAATTAATATTTTAAAATTGATATTTTCAATTCAGTAACATGACCTTTAATAATTGTAATCATTTTTGAGTGATATTTAATTCAACAGTCTTATAAATAGAACATTCAATGTATCCTTCTTGTTTATGTGCAAATTATTTCTTTTGAAGCTGATATCTCAGATAGTTTGTGTCGTCAGATGAGGAGTGTAAAGATGAATCTAAATCATGTTTAGTGAGAGGACAAGTCGGCATTTGTGCTTGCAAATCTGGGTTCATAGGTTTCGGAAACGATTGTCTAAAGGGTACTAGTATATTCTTAACCACGCTTTTGGAATATAATATTGCAATAGTACGCGACTTATAAATCTTTGAAAATAAAATAAGTTAAAAAGATTTTCAATTCTTTTTTTAAAAATCATTTTTTACAAGAAAGAAACATTTTTATTTTTATATATTTTTTTTAACTACAATGTAGTTTTTCTTTATCAGGAGATTTAAGTCTGCATGAATCGTGCCAGCGAAATGAGCAGTGTTCTATGGTACTTGGCTCTGTTTGTGAGAACAACATATGTACCTGTAGAGAAGGCTATGTCTCATCTAACAATGACTCCGAATGCTCTTTCCGTATGAACATTTGAATTTAATCGTCTAGTATTTGAACAAATTTTAAAGCCTTTTACATTACATATTAGATAAATGTAAGTTTAATTATTGTTGTTGTTTTTTTTTTGAATTAGAATAAAAGTCATATATTGTTGCATGTATTAATTATTAGCTTTTTCGAAAAATTTTTTGCGAATGGGATATATAATGAAAGGAAAAGGAAACGCAGGGTGGCATGATATTCCAAAAAAAAAAAAATTTTACCCTATGACCGAGAATTACGAAAATTGGTCAGATCAGAAATTTAATTACTAATCACCAAAATCAGTGTTCAGAATTACTCAACCGTAAAATGTTCTTACGTCACATAGGGAAAACGCTAAAAAGCCCAAAACACGTGTAATTTGATGACGACGAGTTTGTCAACAAATCTTGTTACACCATGTGATGCACCTGATGTATGCACATCGTTTTTCAATATTTATAGACGATATGATTTTCTTCCATTCTTTGTACAGTTTACGGAAGTTCCATGGGATCTTCTTTTCGAATTGCCTAATTAATGAAAAAGGCAACAACGGTTAACGAAGCAGTGTCTTGTAAATTTCCCCCCATAAAACTTGTTACCCGTTGTCAGAGAGGGCCTGGAATGGTTTTCACTCAACCGTGACGATGACGTTAACGCGAAACAGAGTCATGTTACGAGCGGGTTATTCGTCCTGACATCTTTTAAATCGCCACCTTACTACAACAAAAACCGCCATTTATACAATAGACTATTATAATCATTACATTCACACGAAAAATAAAAGAAAGTAATTCCGCAATTTGGTTTTTTAGCCGGTCAACTTACTGTTGTGTTCCTCTCACTGGCGCATGCGCGCGTCGTTTGACAATTTTTTTGGCGTGGTTACCCATGCCCAATATAGCCAGGGTTTGAAAGATAAACACTCTGATGAATTCCATGCAAAGGAAATAAGGCTTTGACAGATGAGTGGGAGAGACATTGAAGATAATGAGAGTTTTCGATTTTCACTTTTAGGGGGTATCGTCATATGATCTTCAATAACTCAAGAATTATTAGACAAAATCAAATAGAATTTTGGTTGTGCCTTTTTGAAGATATTTTTAAAAGTTAGATAGGAATACCGAAAAAATTAAAAAAAAATAAATTTAATTCACCTCAAAAGTTTACCCTGCGTTTCTTTTTCCTTTCAGTATATAATGATTTTCACTAATTACTGCTGTAATCTTTTTATTTGATTTCAACAATATTAAATACAAATATATCATTGCTTACAACGCCCTCAGGTGGTAGATCTCAAGCAAGTGTCCAGGGCCAGAAGGTAATAGAATTCTTCTTGTATTTACTCTCCATATAATGTTAAGTCTGATGTGCAGAAATGCCTTCAAGCAATACTTGTATAAAAAGGTGTGGGAAGCAGCTATAAGTAAACGATAGCTTAAATCATATGTGTATACAGTGTATATAAATATATTTGCAATATTATAACTAATTTTCTTTTAGAAGAAATACTTAATTTGGCATGTTTTAACAGAATTATAGGAATTTCTTACAATTAGTTTTTTTTCTTCACTGCAGAAGATAATGCTGTCAGTGTGACAGTTGGAGCTGTTTTTGGCGGCCTTATCTTAGGCATTGTTCTAACTGTTCTTGGGGTCATCATCTACAAAAATATACGAAATGGGAAACCCAAGGCTGGAAAAAAGTATCAAACTTTTTCAATGTTTTTGCTTATTTAAAATGTTAACATATTAATCTGTTTCTGTGTATTAGCATTTATTTTAATTGCTTAATTGATGGTCGAAATAAAATTACAAATTTTATTTTTTATCTTAGACAAGACCAAACGGTTGCATTTTTTAACAACACTTCTTATGAAACTGAAAGAGAAGCACATCAGAACCACTCTACTGTGCAACGTGCAAATGAGGTGAGAAATATATGTAAAATATTATATAAATGTAAATTGCAAAATAGTAACAATAGCATTTTTTTTTTGAAAACCTGTGAATTCATTATTGGTGCTTTTTTGGCCAAAAGAAAATCTTCATAAAAATGATAATTTGTTGTAAAATAAACATTTCATTTAAAGATATACTTAAATCAGCTTGAATGGGCCCAGTTTTTTTAGATAACCTGTTTAACGCAGCCTTGGGTTGCAAGATTCCTAACACATTTACTTAATTTTAAAAGTTTTATTTCTTATTCCTGATTATTTCTAATTTTGACACTTTTTTGAGTACTGTCAAATAGCCTTTAAACTGCTATATTTCCTAGATCAGACAAAGAACAAGTCTTTTTTACAGTGTAAATACTTAAAAAGTTTCCTCTTAGTAGTTTTGGTGTTGTACTGTAATTAAGTAAGTAAATATTTTATTATAGTGACATGTGTATACAAGTAGACAACAAGTAAATTCAATATAAACGTATAAACATCACACCCGGCCCATTGGACCTATATGTCACTTTAATATATGTACAGTATTTAAATAGTCATTTAAAGATAGCGCGCATGATGGACATTATATTAATTTGTTTGATATAAATATTTTTGTCTTAGTGAAAAACATGAATTTAAAAACTTGGCAGTTTGTCTCTGATGATTTTTCATTAAAATGTTTAAATTTTCAAATGGATCTACATTTCTATTTAAATTAACATTATGAAAAAAAGTTTCTCTAATATTTCCGTAGATTTTACAATGAAATAAAAAATGTTTTTCGTCCTCTACTGATTCGTCATTACATAGAACACAGTAACGTTCTTGTGGTGGTTCGTTTCTAAATCGGCCTGTTTCGATTCGTAACGGAAGGATACCAATTCCAAACTGAGCCATTGTGGAACGTTCTTGTTTTTTCATGTCCATCGTTATGTAGGGTTCCATTTCAAAATTATTTTTAAAGGTCACAAATGTTCTCAATTTGGATAACGACACTATTTTGAATTTCCATTCTTCTTCGCAAAGCGCAAACAATTCACATTTGACTTGATTTAAATTACATATTCGGAGGTAATCAATATTGGTTTGCATATTTAATTTGTATAGGATTTATTTCATTTGGGAACACCATATTCCACTATTTTGATAATTCCATAAGAAAACCTTTTTGGCGAGTCTGTCATCGTCCATTTCAATTAATTCCATCGATTCCATCTTCTAATCATGTTGATCCAGCGCCTGTATGTCGGGGTTATTCATCCAACCTCGCTGTTTAATGCGATTGCGGGTGCGTATCTATGTAGTCCTAAAAAATATCGAATAGCACGATTTTGTACAACTTCTAAACAATGATATGTTTTGAATCCCCAAACCCCGGAACAATAATCTAATATAGGGATCACACAAGACTGAAAAAGTTTTTCGTAGGTATGAAATCCAACATCTTTATAATCATGAATTTTTGAAATCATTGACCCCAATGCTCTTCCTCCTGCTTTACCAAGAGTTTCTGCCGCTATGTTAAAGTCCATCTTTCTCGTGAAAGATAATACCGAGATATCGATATTGATTAACATACTGTAATTCTTCTTCTTCTATTTTGAACTTGTATAGACTTTGAGGTACATGGCGTTTCCTAAAGTGCATGACATTAGATTTGGCACAATTCACATTTAATCTCCACCGTTTACACCAGTTGGACAGAGTATCAAGAAATTTATGCATATCTGATTCATTTTCCCTTAGAATGGCAATATCGTCGGCATACAATAAAAGGCCTATTTTTTGATCACCAAAGGGAATTCCTGTATTTAGTTGTGAAATTTCTGTTGCTAAATCGTTAATGAAAAGGGAGAATAAGGTGGGTGACAAGTTGTCTCCTTGACGTACACCGTTTGGACATTCAAACCAGTTTGTGCGAAAGTCATTTACACATACACAAGAGAATGTCTCAGAATATAAACTGGAAATAGCATTATAAATTGGACCATTGACTGTTTCTTTTTTCACATGTAAGAATTAATTCCAGAAACCTTAAAAAAATAATAAATGAATTTAAAAAGTAAATAAAAAAGAAAATAAATGAAAATATATGCAAAATTTTTAAAACGAGGAATTATTGACAATGACAAACAAGTCGATGAACCAAGAATATCAACAGTCTCGTTTTATATGTCATCATTTCGTAAGTTCGAAGGTCGATACAATAACCTTAAGCTTGTTTGCAAATACAATTTACCATTGAGTAAAATGTTGAATGACTTTTTCATACTAATTTTTAGGCTATTATTTACACACTGAAAGAGCCATAGCGCATTTGATAGCCACTTTCGCCTACTTTAGTAGTGATTTTCTAAATACTTTTTTTAACGAAAATTTTGTCATACAATGTAAGTTTATACATGCCTTAAAGCAACTCACACAAAAATAATTCTCAATTATTAATAATTCCCTCATATGAAAGTTATAAAAATCGATCAGTTTATATGGAGAAAATAGTAAATACTGAGGTACCCCCCTAAACAATGACAAACTGTAGGAAAATACCATCCTTAACCAGAAAAACAACTTCTGAATAACTTTATTTAGATATGACTGCACTTCATTACGTTTAGATAATTTTGGTTAAAGGTGTTCTTCATATTGAAAATGTTGAAAATATGTATTTAATTTTTCTTCTAAAATTATTTCAAAATTCAACAATCTGTCTTAATGTTATCCGTTTGATTACCGAGACTTCGTGGCGTAGTGATTGCTGGATTGAAAACATAATGATCGTGAGATCGAGTCTCACAGTGCGTTTTACTTAACTACGATTTTCTTTTTTTTTTTTCTCTGTGTGCATTTTCTTATGTTTTCTTTAATTATTCTATAATACATGTATAAATAAATTTTAAAAGAGATATATAATACAACATTACACATTGAAAGTATCTTGGGTCTTAAACTATTTTAACGATCCAAAGTCATAGCTGCTAGCCTGTTTTATATTGGACAAATAAAATTACTGTCATGCAACAAACTTGCAACTATGAAAATTTAACGCTGGTTCACAAATGATTACATACATGTAGTTTGATTTTGAATTGAAAAGGTACATGTATCTTTGAAAAGAAACAGGTGATTTCCTTTTAAATACTTGAGTAGGCCGAGTCGTCGGTAAGACATCTATGGCTCTTTCCTTAATATCCCGATCATGACAAGTAGCACACGGCGGGTGTGACCGGTTCCAGGGGATACTCACTCCTCCAAGGCACCTGATCCCACTTCTATTGTTTTGGAAGACCGTGTTTGCTCCGCTCCTAATTTGTATTGTTTTATTGACTTTTGAGCTTGAATACTGCCCGTTATCTCCATATATTTCATAAAGCAAATATGCTTCATTAAACATTTTTCTATTCCAGAGAAAGATTGTTAATGTGCCACCGTTTGCTCATTCTAGGGATTTACCAGTAACGGAAAACACATACACCCATCATGGCAACAAAAGTTCGATGGCAAATAGGCATGACGTAAATAATGACGTATATAATCATCTGCATGAAAAGGAAGAGGATTCCGACATTGATGAAACTTACGACCACGCCCATGAAAACATAAATCGTACAATGGAGGAGAGTGACTACAGTAATCTAAATACAGGGAGACAATACATGGGACCAGGTGTTTCAGCTACTGAAGATAATGATTATGATGAACGCGAGCTGCCTGGTGATTACTGTTCACTGGAAAAGCAGTGAAGAATTGGAAATTATTGTGCAAAGACACTGTTAAGATTAGTCTGAGTCAAGCATTTTATGAGACTGTTTGTTGTCTTTCATTGACTTACTTTAGAGACCTTTTAAATGCATAAAGCATATATTTTGAGATCAAGTGTAGGGAGTAAAAATGTTTTCGGTCGACTACAGGAATCATTAGGCATGTTAGGGGAAACATTCTCGATTATTTTTTTTTTCGTAGTTTTGGATAATCTTTGAGTGACAGAGTAGATAGAATAATCATTCGACGAGTTCATTCATTTTATGGTATTATTTTCATTTCTTTCAATATGATAATGCTAAACCAATTTGTTTGCTGTACATACGTCATTTATTTTTCATAATTAAGTGATGCCTTTCCAGTCTCTTTTCAAATCACCTTTTAGACTTTTTGACGCAAGTCTATGAAGCCAAGAAAATCACAAAGGCACTTGTACGCTCAGTACTTTTCTCATTAACGTAATATCATGATAACATGGCGTATTATTTTTGACGAAGTTGTATTGCTAATATTTGCTATTAACACACAATTAGGTCATCACATAAGGTTAAGTTGCATCTGTTTGCTCAAGTCAGTACTAATTTGTATATATGTTTTACTTTCATAAATAAGGATAATATTACTAAAATTCTTCACAAAAGCTATATCGCCTTGACTTTATGGGTATCTCGTGTTATATTGTTCTTCAGATAGGCTTGACTATAAAATGATTGATCTGACCTAAGGATCATAAAACAGGTTGAAACTTAAGTCAAATGTTAAATTGTTGTCTAAAAATGTTAAAGAGTTATTATATTTAAATTGGAGAAAACATCATTTACAGTACTAGCTTTTGATGCAATATGACATTTTGAACTTGTGTATATCTTATTATCTTCAACATTTTGTACAACAGAAGGATTAAATTTTGTTCTTAGACAAAATCGAGAGGGGGCTTTGAAATTCCTTACAAATGTATTTAATGGGATTCAGATCCGAGGATTTGACAGTGCATCATCACAGATACCTTTTGGTCAATATCTTTCGGAGTTTTGCACGCACGTGTACCTCTTTAAGGAAGATTCAAACTGTTTGAGATGATATAAGACTGCCACGAGCATCAATTTCTTATCACTTTCACACCATCAAAGTTTGATTCCGGTTTAATGAAATTTTGTCCAAAACTTTCACATTGTGACAAGTTGGCGATGAAAATGACTCACGATCTATAGAACAAATGTGTTTAAATGGGGTTTAAAACTGTTATTAATTTTTAAAAGTAATATCATGGACAAATAAACATTAAAATAAAAGTGAGTAAAACGTGGCTCAAGGATGATCCAGATATTAACATTCCAACGGTTCTCCATCCTTTCTCAATGGTCATTTCGCCAATGCTTTGTGTGTGTGTGTTTTTTTTTTTTTAGTTTTTCCTGCTTTCAAAAATTGAAAATGACAAATCACAAAAAGATGCTGATTACACAAAACACTTGCCACAAAAAATAAATTTATCGTTTTTAAGGTTCGTCGCGAAATATTGGTTTTTATCGCTGATAATTGATTTTTTATATACAATTGTTGAGAAGACTTATTGGTTAAAATAATTTAAAAATACAATACCATTCTATCATGTTGTTTCTAAAAAAAATACATTAATTAATCTGAACACTTAGAAGTTTTGTTAAGTGTATGTACTTAAATCATTTCTGATATCTGGAATCTTTCTTGTCGTTTTAAAATGCTTATTTGACATGAAGCACATTAATTGTATAGACATAACTTGATATGCCCATAAAAGCTTTCAATGACCTTAAAGGGATGTTTTTTCCGTTTTAATTCTTTTTATCCCTATCAACTACAAATTACAGCATTTCTTCTTTTTATTTCATTCAACTAATGATCGTTTAAAAAAGTCAACGGTCATTCTAGTCACCCATTAGAAAGTGTACTAGTACACTTTATTCTTATCTAACAATGTGTCATCTAAGTGCAGATTATAAAACATTAATAGCGAGTAAAAGTGCATGACCCATAAAAAAAAAAGATTTTTGTCTTCCATTTCATTCATTCTTGTTTGTATGTTTATATGTAAAATACATAGATAAGTAACCATAACCAAAGTTTCAAGGGTACACAGTAGTTTTCTACCTTTGTTTGCTCAGATTTCATTATTTTATAAAACAAAAATAAAAGTTAAGTGTCGTTGAAAGATTGATTAATTGTCAACATTCCATTCGAGATATTATTCCAAGCTATTTCAATCTGATTTAGCTACTGTTATAGAAGGAAGTGTATAAATGCCTTACCTTAGTCTAACTTTTCATTCTTAGGAATTAGCGTTCCTGTCAAATATTTTAGTTCAATATTGTCCCTTTAAACATCTAGGTATGCTTTGATTGCACCTTACTTTATTCAATCTTCCAGAATCAACTTGATTCGTTTAAAAATTCCCCTCTTGTTATTTTAAAACACTCACCCACAACATACATTTAGAATAGTTACTGCCCTTACTTTTTTTCTTTTATATTTTCAGACGACTTGTAGCAGATACCAATGCTTTTTTTATCGGGATAAACGATAGAATATGGTACAAATACTTTACAAGTGATCGTTAACTTTCTACCCAAACAGTTCCTGTTGTACATATAATGCCTAAATATAAAAGGATAAAGGTAGTTGTGGCAGCGATTCTCAACAAGACCACATACATAACACGACTGAAGGTTGTGAACACCGAGACACTGATTCGGTATTTGTGAGACAACTAAAACGTCAGGCAAATTTCGTATTGTATTGTATTTTATTGTATTATATTATTATATGAAGAAAACAACGATCTGAGCAATAGTGTCGCAAGCGCTTACTGCAGTATTTTTAGCCTGAAAATACAAACCACATAATAATGGCTACAGTCAGCAAAAGTAATTCAGAAACAAATGTTTTGGCCAAACGAACTGACTTTTCAATGTCAGAAAAACTAGATAAGTTTCTAAGTGTGGTACATCATGAAACAAATGTTGAATCAAAGCTTGACAAACACAAATCTGATTTAATACTCGTACATAATATCAACAGCAATTGGATAATAATTTCGAACTTAAAAAAAGAAATAATAACACATTTTCACTCTACATTCAATACCCACCCCCTTAATCCTAGACTGCATCCTGTGGTCATGTTTATAATTTTGATGAGAAATCCTCGATGAATATAACTTTGCACTTAGTTATTCTTTTAACAGATGTATATACAGGAAAAAAAGATGAAAGAAATTAATGCAATTTTACTATACTATCAATACATTTATGCCTTTAAACCATAACATCTAACCCAGGGACCAAAAATTACCATTTTTGGCAGAGGCATTACCGCTATTCCGAAGAAATACTTGGTTTATCTCATAAATACCTAGGAGCAAAGAAAACAGTTAAATAAAAAAAAAATCACTTAATAAACAACCCACACTAAGAACTCTTAACCTGAGGCCATACAATTCACAATTTTGAAAAGGGCACCCTTGTTCCCTATAACAATTCACAAAGTGAAATGCTTCATGAAAGAATCCCGCACGTCAAATGCAGTATATGATCATCGGAGCCACACCAGAACTCCAGAGAACTCTCTCAAAATGTATGAATTTTTCAATTTGGATAGAGAATCAATGCTTATTATGATCATGCCAATAATTTGACTGCTTGATGTTCAAAAAATGTGAAGAAGATCTTTAAACATTAATTCATTTTGATGGTTTTGCTCCAGTCCTAAAGACAATGAGCATAGATATTGTATGCAAAAATTGATTTAAATTGGTTCCGTGGAGAAGAAACTGAAAATGCTTTATTCGATAATGGATAGCTATTGGTCAATTAAATAACTCAAGTGACCTAAAACACAAAAAGGAATACAAGTGTTTTGAAATCCTTAAGATACTAATTAAAAATATTTCTTCTCTTAGCCTCGATAAGGATTGATATATGGTAAGGCACTTGAAAACACTCATGAGCATGCAACAAGGATCAAATTTTAAGTTTTCTGAGGCAGTCTTTCTAGCATACAAGTTTTCGGAGTTCGACAGAACTATAATATAAATAAGGAAGCTTTATTTTCCTGTTTCACGCATTTTCTTAAACAAATGGAATTTTTAAATATTTAGAATGTAAGTAGATTAATTTGTTTCTTTTTATAGATAGTAATATTGCACTGAATCAATTTTATCAAAATTAGTACTGAAATGATAATTGCATGATAATAGGCGGACTGATATTCAAGTCTGGTACATCAACTTCGAAGCCATGTAAAATATGTGAGCTATGACTCTTCTATCAATTTTTAAAGATTCGAGTTTTCTAGGGGTGCCCCGGGTTTCTTCTGTTTTGTTATTGAATAATTAAAAAAAAATATTCAAACAAACCCGAAAATCTTAACAAAGTCAGAGTCCGAAAATTCCTTTCTATTTCAGGGCATGATTTTCATAGCACAATATTTTTTTTTTTAATTTTAAGAAATACACATTTAACGCTGAACACGATTCGTAAAAGGAATATGCTTGCCATTTTTGATCATATTCTCGTCATATTTGATAACCTCCATATAAAGCGACTGACTGGTTCAGGTTGAAATGCTGTAATGAAACAATAAATTAGTTTCATAATTCATAATACACCATATATGTCTTAACAAATAATCGTTAACTAGTGTAAAGAGATGTTCTTTTTTGTTCTTACACATGCATTTTAAACAAGAACAAATTATTCTTAGCAAAGTTTTTCATGGTACACCACGAACACTTGTTTTTGGTACACATTCTTTTTATTTAAAATAATTGTTAATAAGATAAACTATATCTCAGTAATAGTGTATTGAGTCGGGCCAAGCTAACAATTCTTAAAAGATGGCCTCATTTAAAGAAGCTTTGTATTATTCTCAAGTTGATGTGTGTTGTATTTTATTATTAAGTAAACTTTGTAATTGAATTAATAAAACACCCTTTTCCATATCACATTCGTATAAGCTCTCGACCTTGTGCCGTCTGGCTGATACTGGTGTCGAGATGTTGTAGTGTTGTTTTATATTTAAGTGGCAGCAAAGACCTTTGAGCGTATTCTTTGGCGGATAGCAGACGAAAGAGAAAAGTTAGTCTAAAAAATAGCTAAAATTGAAAACCAATCCGTAATGTAATATATGTTCCTTTAACAGTACTGAGATTAAACTTATACTCGGTCAGTTCTTTCAATGTGGAACACCAACGTATGCAAATTAGATTTAGCTCATCATATATTTCCGGGATTAAAGTAACTAATTAATGTAAGCATTTATAATAAGTTTTTATTTTACATCAATGTAAAATTTAATATAATTATTTGAAGAATTTTTAAAAATTATTTAATGTAAATTAAAAATAAGAAGACATTTAATAATAATTAAATAAAAAAATTAATTGTACAAATTACACTGTATTTCAAAATATTTTTATATGAGTTACTATTTTTTAAGGATATAGTTAAAACAGATTATAACTTACCTGTAATTTATTTCTTTTGTTCTCCACCTGTACCCTATTTCCACTTAACCAACACATATTTACCTGTGTTTTACCTGTATTTTTTCTCAAAATCTTGCCTAATTTGGAAGACACACTTCATACCCTCAACCTGTTCAAAATCTCTCTCCGCGGTCGGACATTGATCCTTGCATTTTGATCCTATGGTTAAACATTGGAAATTTTAGATTTTTTAAAGTATAGATGTATATATGAAAAAAGTATGAAAGTATAACGTAATTTTGTATTTTGCAATGATATTGTATTCTATACAATTTTCAGGGTTTCTTCCTTCTCTCCTTTTGTATTTTGGCTGTTCTTCCTATGATATCAACAGGTATGTTTACAAAATTAGAATCTGGAGTGTTAAGATACTGCATGTGTTAGGAACGATCAAAAATTATGAATATTATTTGTTGTATATTAAGGTATATCATTAGGGGTGGAGAAAACAGAATAACATAAAAAGTTTTCGATCCATTCCCAAATTTATATCTTAAAGTATTGTAAATATATCCATAAACAAACTGTAGTTAATACATAATTTATTGAAAGTCTGTCATATTAATCAACAAACAATATGGCATCAGCACTGCACAACATGCATTCGTATCCTTATTCAGGATGAATATCTTTCCCCTTTGAGGAATATTTGCATTATTCAGGACTTTCTTAGCATGTATTTCCTTATGCAGGACTATTCATATCTGGGTGTTTTGCTGACTAAAGGTGTAATAAATAATAAAAGCTATGTGACAAACAGAAGGACTTACAGCTGTAAACCCATGGCTAACTTCTCTTATTTACTCCTGCGTTTGTACATTTATATTTACTTTCTCCTGCGACGGTGATCATTTTCCACAATATTGATTCTCACAATATTGATTCGAAAAGTTAGAGCACGCCCGAGGGTTGGATCAATTCAAAGCTAAGACAAGTAGCTGAGAAAAATTAATGTTTCAGAGTTTACATTATCCCGTTAAAAGTAAGCTTTTCGCTAATTCTATCGTGGCTCTAATGACCTAGTTTCTACTAAGTAAAGCCTATCGTCGGGTTGTATGATTGATATATCCCACACCAAAGGACTATCTTATTCAACTAAGTTTTACAACGGAGTAACCCGTACCCCTGCTCAATACACTGGGCATCGGAGGGTGTCACCGATCAATAGGGGAGGCTCACTACTCTAGGCTTTTGATCTCTTATGATCTGGTGTTTTGAGAAGTCTGTGATTTTTTTTTTGTTGACGACAGTTCAAAGTGAAATTAAGTAGTGTACAAAAGCATAGGCTTTGTTATACTGCTTGAAATAATAAATAATGAATAATAAATATTTTCAAATACTGATCATGATAGGCAAACAACGAGAGGATTCATTAATAAATAGTATATCATTAATCTAAAACCTGTTATTTGTTTTGATTCATTGTCCGAAATGGAAAGTCTTCTCAATTAAAATTTCAGTTTTTGAACACGATGATGCAGCTTTTCAAAACAATATTAATTAATGTTTTTTATACAGAACCGATCAGGACAACTAGAATTTCTGACTTCAGCATATTTTTGCATGTAATTAGCTATCTGTTTACTTTACCTAATGATGAATGAGTAGTGATGCATCATTGGCTACGATAAGTACTCAGTTGAAAATAAAGGGCCCCTCGGAAATTCATTTTCAATTTATTTTTGAGATTCATGAAATAAATATTGAACATGATATATATACTCAAAGGTCCCCTTATATCCTACATCAATAGAGAGAGCAAAGGTCCCCTTATATTATTTTGTTTGTTTGTATGTTGTTTCACGTCCCTCTCGAGAACTTTTCACTCACATGGAGACGCCACCACTTGCCGGTGGAGAGCTACAAATTTTGTCCTATATTCAGCACGCAGGGCCATTGAGCAGTGAGGAATCTTTTTCGTGCCAATACCTACTACGACACAAACCTTTGGTTTATACGGTCTATTGCGAAAGACCGGTCCCTACGTCCCACAGTGGGATTCGAACCCGCGACGTAAAAATTGACTCCTTACTTCGCGACTCCCCTGGGGGCCAGAAAACTTAGATGAGTTCACTCTTGATCTCAGTCTCACTTTTTCCAATAGAATTAATGCTGGAAAAGTGAGACTGAGATAAAAAGTGAGGTCGTCTAAGACTTATGGCCCCCAGGCCAGAGGTCTCCTTTTATCCAACATTTATAGAGCGACCAGTGGACACTTTATGCAGGAAATAAGGGGACTTTTCGTCTCCGTATTGATTTTCAATGTAAGTGGACCTTTAGTCTGCATATTAATCCACATTATACCGTGTCCTCTGGCCTCCCCTGGCCTCCCTATTGATGTAGGATATAAGTGGACCTCTGGTCCTTCTTTCCATGTACAACACAATGTGATCTCTGGTCCTCCTACTAATGCACAATATAAGGGGTTCTATGGTATCCGTATTCACATCAATTTTATGCTTCATCTGATCCTCACAGAAATAATATAGAATCGAGGTTGTTCTACATAATGTACATAAATAAGGTCATACGTAGTGGTATATGAATCAGTAGACCAGAGGTAATCTTATATTGTTAATTCTTAGGAAAACAAGAGGCCATTTGAACTTATATGGAGACAATATTTACAAAAAAATTTTGCATATGAAGATTTCTTTTTCAAAACTTTTTAAAAAAAAAAACTTGAGACCCTGATTTTTTTAACAAGCGAACATTTTCACAATTTCTCCAAATTAATTCTCTAAATTTATGTAACTGAATCAGCGATTATATAAGAAAACTTTTCGTTCATATACAGTATATGTTTCCTAAAAGCAATTCAGAATGGGTTCATATATTTTAAGTTTATTATTTTGGAAAAAATACTCTCGTAGTTTTGATTTATAAGTGTAAATTCCAGGGAAATGGGGAGTAGAACTCCAGCCACTATCTTTGCAAGACAGGGCGTACATCTATTCTGTAAGATTAATATTAACCAAAGGTGAACTTAAATGTTAAACTGATAAAGTCGCCTATTAATGTATGACCTCATAAAGTTGACAAAAAGGAAACCTTATATAATTTATTACCAAATATTTACATTTCAAATGTCTTTATACTAGATAAAATTATGAAGTGTAAAAACACTTTATTTCTACATAAATGTAGAATTTACACGTAAAATCAGCATTAACAGTCGCAAATACCAAATTAGAAGATCAGTTATTCCCATTCTAATGCAATCCATGCATTTTGTTTGTTGTTTACGTCTTATTTTGTTGAGTTTCATGATATAAAATACGTCACTGTGGATTTTTTTTTTGCATCGCTCTATAATGACGTGACAATGAAAAGCTTTCTGCCTCGTTATGGTAGGTCGGGGGTTTGCTTTTGTCATCAATTTTAGTACACAATTTCGACGGTTTGAGCGGCTGTTTTGTACACATTTGATTATGACGTCAATTACGTCACAAAGGCAACGTTACGTTGTTTGCCGTTTAATTCTCTGCAAATGACTTCAAGTCTGTACGAATCAAATAGATTAATACAAAGTGCAAATTAATAGACTAATACAAAGTTTTTGTATGTATTTTTTTTAATTTCATGATATATAGTCAAAATCTAAGTCATGCAACTAAATTTAAGAAGTCGATAATTTACACTTCTAAACTTGTCAAAATTTCAGCAGTAACTGATTGCAGCCATTTAATTATAAACTACATGTATCACAAGGTTAATAACGGGTAATTCAATCGAACAATACCGAGCTGCAATCGATCTATTTTATTTACCAAGTAGAGGCACATGTAAAACATATTCATATTTGGTTTTTCCACGTTTACATATATTTCAATTACTCAAAAATACGCTCAAACTTCTCGCTTGCGGCATGGCAGCCATTTTTCAGAAATCTGTGTATATTAAATTTTATCTACTGTTTTTTACTTTTATTTTGTTTATATGCAGGGATATTGAGGTCAATCCAGGTCCTGCTATGGAAAGTGTCCTTGACATACTACATTTGAATATTCGAAGCATTAGACACAAACTAAACTATCTAAATTCTTTTGTTCATGACTTTGATATAATATGTTTTAAGGAAACTCATTTGGATCATACAGTTGATAATGATGACTTACATTTGGACGGTTTTGGAATAATATTGCGAAGAGACAGAAATTGTTTCGGGGGCGGTGTGATGATGTATTTCTCAAATCAAATACGAGCATTTAGACGCAAGGAATTTGAACCCTCTGACACTGAGTGTATGTGGATTGAAATAGGTAACAATACCTGCAAATACTTTTTATGTTGTATATACCGTCCTCCAAACTCGGATAGTAGTTTTTGGACAAAACTCACATGGTACATTGACAGAGTAGGTGAAGTCTCGGATAAAATATTAATAGTAGGCGATCTGAATGTTGATCTCCTTAATGCTTAACAAACACATATAATTCGCGTAATAATTTCAACACACAATCTTGTAAACAGTATCCATGAACCAACTAGAATATCACACACGTCCAGCACGCTTCTTGACCCAATTCTTACATCTGTCGATATTCAAGTATGCGAATTGGGCACTCTAACAAGAGACACCTCGGTCAGTGACCATAGAGCAACTTACATCTCGCTCCCTTCTGGTATAAATTATAATCATTCATATAAGCGGAAAGTATGGGTTTATAAAAATGCCGATATCGATTTCATGAAACTTAACTCTCTTATCGAAAATTGCGATTGGACTAAAAACATTAACGAAGCTAAATCTGTAGACATTGCTGTAGATAATTTTACATCGGAATTCCTTTCCTGTGTTAATGAATGCATACCTGAACAAACTATAACCATTCGCCCTCTTGACAAACCATGAACGGATTCAATGTTACGTAAAACAATAAGAAAAAGAAACCGTCTTCATAAGAAAGCTAAAAAAAACTAAAAAAGAATCCGATAAGGCTGCTTATAAAAAAGTTCGTACTTCAGTCAACAATATGAAAAAAAAACGCCATTTCAAACTAATACGATAATATGGAGCCGGAAGTGGTTTAACCGGAAGTAGCTATTCTGGAAGACCTAACCGGAAGTGGTTTTTTTCCTAGCGGATGATGGCTTAATGGAAGGCGTACTACCACAAATGGGATACTACCTTGCCATCAAAATCGACGAACCTAAGTATTAACCCTAATACTTAACCCTAGGTCCCCTAAAGCTATTGGCTGACGGATTGTATTACCCATAAAATGTTAAAATCAACTTTTTATGCAAATGAGATAGGTCAAAAAAAGTGGAGGATTCTGATTGGCTTAGGGAGGATAAGGGGGTGCAAGGGAGTGCAAAAAAAAATGGGGG